TCATGTGTCGACGTAATAGAATCTACTTTCCCATATCATCCCGTGTTTGTTTATAATCATAGGTACAACAAAAACTCTGTGGTTCCCACTAACTGCGTATATTTGGCATTGGACTTTATTAAGTCCACCAATTTGGATCCTTTAATTGTATTCAGAAAATATATAAGATGCTTTCTGCACACTCTGCATCACGCAAAGTCTCCAAGATATCTGTATGATAAAATAGCTGTTGAAAAAAAAAGTTTGCTTTCAGTCAGAGAAAATAGTCATCGGCTTCCACTACCCAGGATTAGCCTCGCTGGAGCCAGGGGGTGTTTTAAATTTGCCGCTGCTAAAATTTGGAACGATTTGCCACCACCAGTCCGATCTACCCTATTTCCGTCTACCTTCCGACAAAGATGCCGCAAGTGGCTTATTCAAAGACAGTCCCTGGCTCTATGTGGCTTTGATACCCCCCTCAAATTAGACAACTTTTTTTTTGTATTTGGAAGGTATAATTTATTAATTGTTTTATTTTTATTTTTACTTTTTTATTGTTGATACGTGTGTTTCATCAATTGCCTAAGACCCTGTATGAATTATGCGCAAAGGCTGTGGCAGAATAGCAGGAGTAATGGGTTTTCCGTTACAACTGAGTCACAGACCGTTTTGTCACAACTAAAAAGTTATTATTATCTCTCTATTTAAATTTTAACATTGTATTTTTGTGTGGCAAATAAATACTTTTTATTGTATTTAGTTAATATTTAAAATTCTAACAATTTACTTCAAAATTCAGTCCAATTACTAACTCAGCTTTTATTAAATCAGAGGCCTTACGTTAAATGTATGAGGATCTGTTTGTCTGGAGATTTTGAGTTTTATCTGGAGTCTGTAGATCATTTAAAATGTCCTGCTAATCCTGACAAATCTTGCCCATGGGTAACAGATATGGACGGATGTAATGGATTAATGGATCCAAAGTATTCATATAATTATAGATAAGAAATTTTTGTCTAAAATGAAATAAAAAAGCATAAAATAGTCGAATATAATTATAGAAAGTCACTGTATAATGAGATAAGATCAATAAAGTTATGCAATTGCTATTTTAATATCGATATAAACATAAACAAACTACCCAACACCATAATGAAGACACATTTTACGTTACATTGAAACAAGGCTCACAGGAGTTTTCCGTAGCCGGGGTGCGGGCGGTACATCAATCATCCATGCAATTTGACGTTGAACATTATTAACTAGTCTAGGGGAGTTAGAAAGTTACCTAATTAATTATTTTTCAACCAATTCATGCTTGTTTCCTATATTCACAATATGTCTCGTTTGCGTAATAGGAAAACCGTTTAGAAAATACAAAATACTGTTTAAAATACGTGAACAAAAACTTGCTTCATTTACGTAAGTTGTTGAACGATAAAGTTTATAAAAGTAAAGTATTCATTATATAAAGAGAATTAACTTTAAATAATAAGTTAAAATCGACTTCAAATAAAAAAACGAATAAATAATTTCATATTCTGAAGTAGGTGTTGAGACATTGTGTATTATGTATAAAATAATTAAAATGTTAAAATTACTATGACGTAATGACAAACGAGCACACAGTCCACCTGATGGTAAGTGGTTGCTGTGGCCCATAGACATCTATCCTTGATTACGAATCAAAATGCAGATGCGTTGTCACACGTGAGGACTAAGATCGAATGACTCGATTCCAGTAAAAAGGGTCTCCGATTTTCTACACTCACCACACGAAACACAGCAGCATTACGCTGTTATTTTACGCTGGTATTCTGTGAGAGCGTGGTCCTTCCCCGGTCGAGCCCACCCTTTAGTGCTATAACTACAATATAGCTGCAGCGTGGTTCTACCACTGGCTTCCCTCCACATATTTCTGAGAGGGATTTAGGGCAAGGAAATCCCAGCCCCGTGCTGTCCAATGTGTGTTGACGAACTTCACATGTCTTCGAAATATTATTTTTTCTTATTGCCCAGTCATGCAGATTTCCTCGCGATATTTTCCTTCACTACCGAGCACAGTCACAAATCTGTACTTAAGATTGCAATTAACGATTTCATTAGTGTCTACGGGAATCGAACCCGGTTACCGTTTTTTATAGGATCGGATGACAAACGAGCACACAGTCCACCTGATGGTAATTTGTTGCTGTGGCCCACAGACATCTATATCTATTCTCGATTCCGAATCAAAATACAGATGCGATGTCATCCGTGAGGACTTAGGTGGAATGCCTCGTTTCCAGTAAAAAGGGTCTCCGGTTCTCTACACTCACCATATGAAACACAGCAGCATTAAGCTACTATTTGACGCTGGTATTGTAAGAGCGTGGTCCTTCCCCGGTCGAGCCTACCCATTCGTGCTACAACTATACATATTTAACTTTAAAGTTTTAATCAAGACCGATACAGTATAAATTACACTGCGATTTTAGCATTAAACCTTATCAAAACTTCATTGCTGAACATGGGCCACCCCATAGGTTACCACATAGAGGGATACTTGCCATAGTTGCCACGTTATTTTAATTCAGCTGTTATCAGGAGAGTGCGCCTCTAACGAAACCCACGAGATGATATGGAGAATTGGATGTTCCTACACCACTACACGTTTAGGTTTAAATTCAATGTCTTTCAATACCCATATTCCTAAAACTTCTTTAATTTTATTTCTTACCTTCATCTATTTGTATGGCGTAACTTTCGATTAAGCATAATGTCAGAAAAAAATTGCGTTAAGGAAGCATCCAGAACGATTGTGTAACAAGAAGTAAAGGTCACTAAAATGTCTCAGGAAAAATTAAATTCCAGCCCACAGTTGTATTAAATGCCACCATCGTCCGTATTAAAGGGAAAATATATTAATAAACACTGTTAGTCGTCCATACTTAAACATATATATTGTCATCTAAAGTAAATGTTTTTTATAGGTCTTTTTCTTTGGTGTTTTGGTAGAAAATATCATCGTGCTATGATGACACCTACACGATTCCACTGCGATCGGTCTTTTTTTTTGAAGAAGTTAAATTATAGTGTAAGTTATGTTAGCCTATACATGCTTCTTCTGATTTCTGAGAGGATTGTGTTGGCAGACACACGCCTTTGAAATATTTTTTTTTTATTTCTTGGACATGCAGGTTCTCCCACGATGTTTTACTTAACCGTTGAACAATTGGTAAATTAACACTTTTAAAATCACAAGTAACAATTTAATTGGTGTCAGTGATGACCGAATCTGGGCTGCTCGCGTACTGTGACTGTGAGATTTACAGCTAGCGGTTATCCCCTGATCTACCTCGGCTCGCCGTTAGAGATATACCCATTTCTATGCGGACGATGTTCAAATCGCATGGATTCGCCGTTTTAGAAATCCGGACAATGTCAATCAAAACCTCAAACAGCAGGACGAGATTGAAATGAAACGCAAACACAGTTAATGCCTGCTCCAGGTTCGCTCACCCAGTCACTGTGATTGAATAAACCCCGTTATTATTGATTAAATTGAACTCGCCTTGATCGTTAGTGTAAACCCGTCTAAAACGATGTTGCGTAGATTGAGCATGTAATTAATATTTCACGTATAGCTCATCTTAAAGGATGTAAAGGGAGATTAGTTTCGCTGCGACGAGATGGATGCTTGTTGAGTAGTAGATTTGCTCTTTGTCTAGTCACTTGATTTTACTGCATCGAATTTGTAGAATATACAAAAGGAAGTCTTATTGAAATAATTTAACATAAAAACTACGTATTATTTATTTTTAGTATGAAAAAAAAAGTTAAAATTTGATAATACTTCACCAAGAATACCTACCATAAAAATTGATCAAACCAGATTTTTATTTTAGAAACTGCCATCAGCGTGTTTCTAAAGTATGATCTTTACGAAACATATTAGAAATTATAAGTGAAGAAAGATCTAACGATTTAGGTATTCTAAGAGAACTTGATCGCGTCGGTCGGCTTAGGGTAGTGAGAAGATGCGATAAGAATATTTTCGCCAGCGTGCATAACGAAGTGTGGCCAGTGAAAGTGTGGAACAACGTGAGCAACATCTGGAGTATTTACATCAGCGTGTGTCACAACGCGTGGCCAGTGAAAGATCTACGACAGCATGCGTTACAACATGTGGCCAGTGAAAGTGTGAAACAACATGAGCAACATCTGGAGTATTTACATCAGCGTGTATCACAACGCGTGGCCAGTGAAAGATCTACGACAGCATGCGTTACAACATGTGGCCAGTGAAAGTGTGGAACAACGTGAGCAAAATCTGGAGTATTTACATCCGCGTGTGTCACAACGCGTGGCCAGTGAAAGATCTACGACAGCATGCGTTACACATGTGGCCAGTGAAAGTGTGAAACAACATGAGCAACATCTGGAGTATTTACATCAGCGTGTATCACAACGCGTGGCCAGTGAAAGATCTATGACAGCATAAGTTACAACATGTGGCAAGTGAAAGTGTGGAACAAGGTAAGCAACATCTGGAGTATTTACATCCGCGTGCGTCATAACGCGTGGCCAGTGAAAGATCTACGACAACATGCGTTACAACATGTGGCCAGTGAAAGTGTGGAACAACGTGAGCAACATCTGGAGTATTTACATCAGCGTGCGTCACAACGCGTGGCCAGTGAAAGATCTACGACAGCATGCGTTACATGTGGCCAGTGAAAGTGTGGAACAATGTGAGCAACATCTGGAGTATTTACATCAGCGTGTATCACAACGCGTGGCCAGTGAAAGATCTACGACAGCATGCGTTACAACATGTGGCCAGTGAAAGTGTGAAACAACATGAGCAACATCTGGAGTATTTACATCAGCGTGCGTCACAACGCGTGGCCAGTGAAAGATCTACGACAGCATGCGTTACAACATGTGGCCAGTGAAAGTGTGGAACAACGTGAGCAACATCTGGAGTATTTACATCCGCGTGTATCACAACGCGTGGCCAGTGAAAGATCTACGACAGCATGCGTTACATGTGGCCAGTGAAAGTGTGGAACAACGTGAGCAACATCTGGAGTATTTACATCCGCGTGCGTCACAACGCGTGGCCAGTGAAAGATCTACAACAGCATGCGTTACAACATGTGGCCAGTGAAAGTGTGGAACGATGTGAGCAACATCTGGAAGATTTACGCCAGCGTGCGTTACAATGTGTGGCCACTGAAAGCGTAGAACGACGTGAGCAACGTCTGAAAGGTCTACGCCAGTGTGCGTCACAACGTCTGAAAGACCTACGCCAGTGTGCGTCACAACGTATGGCCAGTGAAAGCGTAGAACGACGTGAGCAACGTCTGAAAGATCTACGCCTGCGTGCGTCACAACGTGTGGCCAGTGAAAGCGTAGAACAACGTGAACAACGTCTGGAAAATCTACGCCGGCGTGCGACACAACATGTGAAGAATTTTGCAGAAAAGTAAGAGACATGATTGAGCTCATTTCTACTTTTATTTTCATCGTTTCTTATATTTTTTAAATCACGGCTGTCAAGTTCTTCTTTTGTCTTTGATAATAACTACTAGATAAATAAGAACAACAATATACCTACTGGATAAATAAAACATCCATTTGTCTGCTAATACCACGTGAGATATCTATATTCAGCTGTAAAATTTACGGAATAAAGAAGGAAAAACCTTTCACTATTTGAAACTGAGAGCCGTAGTTCAGAGGTTAAGCATTGCCGTACACGCGGACACTTTTAAGTATTTCTTTAGTACGTGTTCGGCACCATGTGTAATTCGAAGCCATGTGAAATCGGCCAACACACATTGGGGCAACGTGGTGGTACTTCATTGTATCACATTCAGAAATGAGAACAAGCCTGGGTCACATGAGTAAATTACTCCTTACTCTGTGCCTATGCCCAACTGTGGGGCGTATAGTCTGTAGCTTTACTTTTACTTTTAATATAAGTACTGTTAATGACTGAATTTCGCAACTAGCTATAATAGAATTAGAATAAAGTAAATTAGTTAAAACCATAAAATTTATCGATACTTAGCATTGGCACACTAAGCTCATTCCGAACTTAAACACAGAAAGTGCAGTAATACAAATCCGAAAAGGACAAATGGTTTTTGACCTTATCTCAAATATATTGGCGCTGCAAGCTTTTAATGGCGCAAATAAAGCGTGTTAAACTTTAAATGTATTTGTATTGGAAAGTACGGAAATAAATTTCAAATTGCCTCTACAACGTTAAACGTCAGTTATGTGTACACTGAATGATAATACTTCTATAACCATTTGTATATGAGTCATAATCGGGAGATATTTTTGTATCGATTATGTAATAATAACTATGTCTTTAAGACTGAATTTCAGTTACGGCGGCCAGTCTAAACAGAGACTAGAGCAGGCGCAGGACATGATTACAGTGCTAGAGTGTGTAATTTGCGCAAGCACAAGTGCTCTCCCCATTGTTTTTTTTTAAATAAAAAATGGGCTCACTCTTGACCACCATCTGGCCTGATGTCGTAGCGAGTTTGCTCAGAAGAAGCCTGTTAAGTGTTAACACGTACCTTGAAGAGGTCTAGGTTTTAGGTACTCGGAAAAACCAACGCCAGCAGGACATTCCACTCCTTGGCTGTGCGCATTATTAAAGATGATTTTTAGCGCTTATTGCGAATATTCGGAATGTTAAACAATTGTGAATCATGGTATGAGCTCCGCAAACTCCGTTTTGCGGAGGACAGACTTGGAAATGAGGGAAGGCAAGAGAAGGTTTTTTTTTATTCCACGGCCTTCGACAGAGATCAAAATTGTCTACCACCAGGAGGGTAGGGAGCAAGTCTGGCCCCTATAGAAATGACATGGTCGAATCGCACCCTGCGGAGAACCCGCTTGTAGAATTTGGCAGCAGAATTAAAAGTACTCTTCTGCGCACAGACCCTTTGAGCCCTAGCTTTGCGATCTCGAGCTAGAACCCGGGTCTGATACGCGGACTCTTTTCGGGCCTCAGCATGAGCGCAGTCAATATTATACCAGGGCCGACACCCGACCGAGCGGAATGTTGAAGAATGGAATAAAATATTACATTTCCCGTCGCATCACATCTACAACTGCATCGGCAGAGTAGGAGGTAGAAAAGCACACTTGCCGCCACAGATATGATGGAAAAAAGTGCCGCATCTCATCCAAGTCTGCTGACTCGTATCGTCATATTCACCCCCTGTCTGTTGAATAGTTATCCGGAAGAGAGATGATCGATACGGATTTCACCAGACAGTGGTCGGATGATCCCAGCGGAGCTGAGACAGATACCGAGTGCCTGTCTGGGTCTGTTGTCAGCAGAAGGTCCAAGCATTCGGGTGTATGTCCGGTTACATCTGGTACTCGCGTCACTACTTGAATCAGCTCGGTAAGATTTAGCGATAACGCATGTTTGCGCGCCTCTCTCCCGGCATGGTAGGTTGTCTCGTTTGGAATGGCCACTCCTTGTGGTGGGCGTTATAGTCCCCAAGAAAAATTAGTCCCTGAGTCTCTTGTCCGATGGGACGGTTAATACAATAAAACTGTAATTCATTACAGGTTCAAGATGCGGAATTGTTAACAGGTAGTCGAAGAGGATTATTGCGTTAATTTTTTGACAACTTTTCTATTTCTTCTATTTGAACAGTTAGCTATATTTGAAGAATATTAAATTAATTTATTTAAAAAAAGGATGGCTCGGTTTGAATAGTAGAAAAATCATGTCATATCTACTTAATATCAATCAACCATTGCTATGCGTGTTTTAAACAATAATAAAATATTCAAAACTATGACCAAAGAGAATGTAAATAATGACTCGGAATAACCGTAGACTGAAAAAACTAAAGATATTTAAAAAAACAGGTGCTTTCAATTTAAATTTACTGTCTAATATTTACTTTGTGGCAAGAAGAGATTGTGAACGAGAAAGTAATAGCAGCGAAAGTATCAAAACGATTTTGTATTGTTCACTATGACATTGAAGTAATTTACAAGTGAACAACATTTTCAACTTGATTAATTATGGTCGGTTAACAGTTAATTCGTAGACAGATTGCACCTCGAACTTAAATACTATTTATGTAGTCAAGCTAAAACAACTTATATATTAACAAAAACAATGACATAAATTTAATAAACATCCCTCTAAACAAAAACAACTGATGATCTTTAAATGGCTGAAATGATTTTCTTGAATCATAGCTAAGAACACCCTCGATTAAATCACCTTCCAAACAAAAAAAAAAAAAACTATACTTATATCGGTTCATACGTTTGAGAGTTACGATGTCATAGACAGACACGCAGGTACACACGTTAAAAACCCTCTGTTTGTGGGGGGGGGGGGGTTGAAAATACATCAATTTTTAGAAAAACAGCATTACATTAACATTGCATTAACAGATTGAGGGCATCCGCGTCTTATTTCGCCACCAGGACGGTGCCACATAAAAATGAGTAATATTTGACAGAATTCATAGCGGGGAAGCATCGTACGCAGTAGTATAATAAGTCTATTAGGGGAAGATAAGTTGATTAAAACTAATTTTACGGATTTTATCGCGTTTATTTTTACTTTTTATTTACTTTATATTTTTAATTCCACGACGTTTCGGGCGCTTTCCAACACCCATGGTCACGGGGGACTGAGAGACGACGTCCCGATGTCATTGTTCAAACCCGGAATGCCTTCAGCTTTTTTTAATATGGTATTGTTTATCGTAAAAAAGCTGAAGGTACTCCGGTAAAATTACATCGGCACGTCAGTCATCTCAGTCCCCCGGACCATGGGTGCTGGAACCTGGCGCCCGAAACGTCGGGAATTAAAAACTAAAAGGAAATAAAAGTAAAAATAAACGCGATAAAATCCGTAAAAGTAGTTTTAATCATGTATAGTGTTCGCGGAATATATAAGAAATCATTATGGAAGATAAGTTGTTTGAAAAATGTAAATGATAATGGAGCTTTTTGAACTATTAGTTATATTATATAGGTATATATATATATAAATATATATATATATATATATATATATATATATATATATATATATATACATATATATATATATGTATATATATATACGCAACATGTAACAAAAACCCTGTGGTTCCCGTTAACTGCGTTATCAGAATCAGTATACAAGCGTATAGACACAATTTTTTTTTCAGAAAAGTCGACAATCCTCTCACTTCGAGGCCAATGCACAGATAATAAAACGACATACAATTTGCAAATTAATTTATTTTGATTAAAATTATTTTTTTAAATGTTTTTAAGCTATTGCATAGCTTCTATCGCGGGCCTTGAGCGCGTGGACCGAATCCAGATATTCCGTAAAGAAAAAAAACCTCAGGCTCCCCACTCCGACGGGCACGGAGGTGTGGCGTTGAAAGCCGTGCATCGTCTAACGTCGTTTCAGTTCGGCAGACTTCGGCACTCGGCAGACTTCGGCACGGTGTTTGTGTGCGTGCGACTAGACGTATGCGTGTACACTAGCTGCTAACTCAATGATAAAAATTCCTGAATAACCTACATGTATTGTAAGATATTAAAAATATTTTAAACAATATTAACTTCTCATTTATTCAATAAGAGAAAAAAATTGTTTTCTTATCGGTCACACGGTTCAAAGACTTAACTGCATAAATAAAATAAATAATTAATTATAATTGCATAAGTTGATAAAAAATGCTATGCAATAGCATTTACCGCGGCAGTCACCGAGTGCCACACGTATTTTTTTTCAAAAAAAATATTTCTATACGCTTGAATACTGATTCTGATAACGCACTTATCGGGAACCACATGGTATTTGTTACATGTGGTATATATGTATAGTAAACAATTTAGGCGATTTTAGTATTGTGTAGTGTAGTGATAAACTTTTATTTAAAGCTAAGTCGTCAATATTTATACGTGGTAGAGCCACGCTGCAGTTATATTAGCAGTGTAGTTGTAGCACGAATGGGTCGGCTCGACAGGGGAAGAAATACGCTCTCACAGAATACCAGCGTGAAATAGTAGCTTAATGCTGCTGTGTTTCGTATGGTGAGTGTAGAGAACCGGAGACCCTTTTTTACTGGAAACGAGGCATTCCATCTTAGTCCTCACGGGTGACAACGCATCTGCATTTTGATTCGTAATCGAGGATAGATGTAGATGCCTATGGGCCACAGCAACCACTTACCATCAGGTGGACTGTGTGCTCGTTTGTCACCCTAACCTATAAAAAAAATTAAATGACATTGTGTAACAAAAAATTCACCTCAGTGTTTACTAGTGACATCTATTGAGTGCAAGATTACTAACCCTTACAAATAGTGATATTTATATTCTGAGGGTCGAACGCGAACACGTGGCGTCCTGTCAACTGAACTAAACTCGCTCATTCACATGAGCGAGCGGCGAGTTTAGTTGCGGGTGGCGGGAGAAGCACGGGAGG